TTTGGAGATCATGGATTTAGACTATTCCTGGGCAGTGATATCTCCTGAATATCTCTCTGTTACAAAGATATTACAGATATTTTGACTGCTTTAAATTCTTGACTTTCTTAATTCTCACCTCACCAAATATAAGCAGTTTGATCTGTACAGAAAACTGAATCCCGAGATGATGCGTCAGTTAGAATTACTGTATGGTAACAGCTCTGATTATGTTACACAACTGAAATAATAGGATAGCTCACTGCTTTGTTTTCTTATGACTAAGTTTCTTTAGTGGGATTGTGCATATTACACGTGAACAGTTGTTCCGTTGTGATATGCATTCAGCACCTTACTTTCTGCAGTTCCAGTATTGTCTTGTGATTTCTTGGGGTTTATATTTTTTGTTGTTTTGTCTTTGTTTTTTTTCTTCCCTCCACCCAACAACCCCCCATCAGGTGTTCAGTTCCCGACAAGCGCTAAATGGCCATGCTCGCATTCACGGAGGTACGAATCAAGTGACAAAAACACAATGCACCATCCCAGGCACTAAGCAGAAATCTGGTACGCAGAGCGGATACTGCTCCATCAAGAGTTCACCTGCCCACAGCACAACAAGCGGTGAGACCGACCCAACAACAATTTTTCCTTGCAAGGAGTGCGGCAAGTAAGTAAATATGAGTATCTGCAGTACTGCATCGCATTTGCCTGTTTAGATTCCAGATCAGTAGTGCTGTGAACAAACCCTTTATTTCACTCTGATGGTCTCAAAAGAAGTTCTCCCCTTGGATGGGAGAATTTACCAAAATTCTCAGAGATGGGTTTGCATGACATTTTGGATGTGATACCCCTGCAGTACTTACTCCTGTTTTCCTGAATCCATTTATGTGTTAGAATTTGTACATCTGACAGTCCATCTTTCTGCTTCATCACAGACTTGGGTGTGACAGTGCGCAGCTTTCTCTGTTTCTTTGCATTGTCCATCCTGTTGTGGTATTACTTCACTTTTTTCATCCTGTGCAAGATTGCTGTAAAACCAATACAGGGAGGATTAGGCTGTGCACGGATACTGAAGTAAGTGTGGGAGCTACAAACTACCTTTGGCAGAGTTAGAGCAGGCCATCAGGATGTATAAATCTGGTGGTTTGTCCCTGAAATTCGCACCATGGCATTGCAGACTTCACTGACTTCTATTTCAGGACAAGGAAGCAAATGTACTGATAGGTTGTTGAGTCTTTTTTGGCTCACTTCATCGAAAGCAATGCATTTTTATCTGATATTTTTTTTCCCTTTAAAATTTAGGGTATTTTTCAAAATCAAAAGCCGCAATGCTCATATGAAGACTCACAGACAACAAGAAGAACAGCAAAGGCAGAAGGCTCAGAAAGCTGCTGTGGCAGCAGAAATGGCAGCCACTATTGCAAGAACTACTGGGCCAGCTGGGCATAGTTTGATCCCCCTGGATCACATGGGTTTGGTTAAACATGTTGAAAATGTTGGTGACATTGATGACGATGTTGTTCCGGATCTGGGCGATGTCATGGAAGAGAACGAAGTCATGGATGCTGACCTTTTATTGGATGATGAAGATCCAGATCTACTGCAGGATGATGCTGAGTTGTAAATAAAGTTGTTTGATAGACAGCTACTGAGCACACCCTGAATGGATCAATCAGGAAACCTGGACTGCTTGTTTATTCCCCTCTGATTGTAAACTACCTGTTGAAAATGATAATTCTTTTATCCAGGTCTAGAAAAAAAAATCTGCTTTTTTCCCTTTTTTTTTATTAATTTGTGTTTTGGGGAAGAAATAAATAATTGGTACAAATATTCTTATAAGGTGTTTTTATCTGAGCTCTTCTTGCTGATAACTTCCAAGGCCACTAATTACAGAAGTTTGTGGTTCTGCTGTCAGTTCCCTCCAGATGGTCCCAGTAGAATCTTTAGTCTTTAACTCTTCCAAGTTTCATTTTACCCCAATTGCAAGAATAAGCTTCACACACTTTTGATGAAACTTTTTTTTTTTTGCCTATATTGGATCATTTCCAGCATCTTCTAGAGACTAAATGTCATCTCTCCTAAAGATATGATTATATTCTTTGTGTTGTCATTTTAAGGGAGATGGAGGGGGAAAAAATCTGATTTAACTGTGAAATAGTTACAGGAGTGACTGCATCATCTGTAATTGCAGTACATTTTCAGTTCTGTCTTGTTTACAGAGGATATTTTAGACCTTCCATTTTAGCAAGGTTTTGATCTTCTTATTTTCAAATGACCTAATTCAAGGACTGAAGAAAGAAAATTATTGTACTGTGGTTCACATCATCTGATGGGAACACTGAATCAGGAACACTGCCTTGGTAATCAGATTGCACTGGAAATACTGTGCTGTGACAATAAATCACACTGTGGAATAGCCATGTCGATGGTTTTAGGGAAGTCTGTGCTTGAGCAGTGCAGGGTTCTTGCCCATGGAACAGAGATTGGTGGAGTATATGCCTTCAGCCCATATTAATTATTACTTCCAGGTATAAAATGTTAACCTTGTGCCACTTTCAGTCCTCATTACAACAAAGTCAAATATTGTTTATGCAGTAAAACATACTGCAAAGGTGAGTTGATGTTGCTGTTTAATTACCATTTCTCCTCCCATAGGTTCGGATCTACCTGCTGGATGCCTGACACCATTTATATAAATTTAGATTTGGTTCTCTGAATAAATAGGATATCAAAAGAATCATACGTTGCAGAATAAAAGAATTAAGGAAGAATTGGAGTTAGGTTGAGTGGACCTTTAATTATAGAGTATGGATGCTGATTGCAGAGCTTTCACAGGTAGCAGCACTGACTTTCTTGTGAATTTTGCACAGTAGAGGAGTATTGCTAACTTTATAAAATATTTTATAAGTGATTTCAGATCTTCCAGGTTTTAGGGTTGTTTGGGGTTTTTTTAGGGGTTGGGTTTTGTTTTATTGGGGTTTTTTTGCCTCATTCCTAATACCTTTAGCAGAATCTGAGTAATGGTAGGTCTTATTTTCTACTGTCTTTCTTCCTTGTTTAACTATGCAAAATGAGGGCAAATTATGGCACTTTTATATAAGAGTACTGGACCACACAAGTTCAAGAACAGTGGGACCCATTGACAGAGAGAGGTGCCTTCTCTGTCATAGCCAAATACGTGAAGCCAAATGACCTCAACTTTCTACTTAAGGTCAAATGCTCTGATGCTAAAGAAGAACCCTTTAGGAGAATGGAAATAACTTCCCAGTTTCTGGTTAATGAAGTTCCTGGTTTTGTACATGTTTTTTTTTACTGCTTTGGGGGTTGTTCCAGAGGTTGTCACCACGTAAGGGGTGACGTTATCGTTTACTGTACCCTTGAGTTTCAGGAGATTAGGCAGCTTTTCTTTCTTTCTCGAACTGCCGGTCAGACACTCCCCAGCAGTTCCGTGCTGTGACACGTTACTTTTTCAGGGGCCATTTGCAGCCCAGGCTCAGCACGCTGGGTGCTCAGCTGTGTGCCACCAGCTACATCCACTGACAAGAAATCTCATAGATTGTGGAGTCTTCATGGTTTGCGAAGTGAAGGGTTTTGTGAGCAGTAACGTGTTGGCTCTTAAGACCATGTGTTAGAAACAGCCCAGCAGAATCTCCTCTCCCTCTCCCAAACTTGTACCATTTTGAACTTCTAAGGATCTTTCTGAGAAAGGCTGCTACACTGGAAAATTGATGTGTTTTCAGGTTCCCTTGTTAATGGTGGGGAAAAAACTGCATGTTTAAGCAAAATGATATTTGAAGCCAGTCAGAATTCTGTTTGAAGAACAGCGTGAAATACCGTAGAAACTTATGGGCTTGATTCTGAAGAACAGCTCTTTATTAAAGTATCTACAGTGGAAAAATTGAACAGGATTTGTGCTAAACTTAGTATCTATAAATATATATATATACATACACATATATATGCCTGGTTCTGTAACATTAATCAGATGCTGTACAGCCAAAAAGATAACAGAACAGTGATAACCAAAGAAGTTATTCATAAAGGAAAAAAAAAAGAAATGTACATTTCCTAAGCAGTACGTGGTTTAGGCCTCAAACATTGACTTCATCATTATTAAGTGTTGCATTGGCTGATGTTAAACATGCTGTTCTGCCTATTTGTACGAGTTGGACATAGTTTTATTTCAGAAAACTTGTTTTCTTGCTGATGGTTGATGATGGAAGACTGTTCAATATTGGACCTAGTCCTCTTTGATAAAACCTGTACATACAGAAAGCATATTTTATGAGAAAAATCTTATTTTCAATATTTAACTGTTATTTTATTAGAAGATGGTTGTGTAAATATTTTAGGTGCTTTAGTGTAAAAAGCCAACTGTAATTTTAGGTGGCAGAGGAAGTAACAAAATAAAAAAAAATATACATTTGATATAACTTGTGATCTATGCTGGTTTCAGGTTCCCACTCTTGGCATTTGACTTGCATAAAGCTAAAGTTCAGGTTAATCCCTATCTGGTTGTGTGTATTTAAGGATGGTTTAGTGGAGTGAATTGGTGCTTGTTTATTCCCCACCCCCTTTAAATATTTGGTACTGATCAGAACCTGTGTTATATCATTAAGAGAAAGGGGTTTATGTGCCATTTCCAGTAATTTTAATACTTTGGTAATATAGAGTTAGCGGGGTTTTGCACTAACGGGCTTGTATATCTTTTTAAAGTATTTTTAAGAGGGAGGGGAAAAGGTTGAAAACTAAGGTCCGTGTAATCGGATTTTCAAAGGATTCCTGGAGAACAGGACGGGGAGTGTCTGTGAGGGGCCCGGCGGGCACGGCTGGCGGGAGGCGGCTGACAGGAAGCTGCTCCGCCGCCTGTCGTGCCCCGCGGCAGCGCCTGGGGGAGGCGGGGACAGGGGCGGGGAGACGAATTGGAAGCTCGCATGGCGCCAAGCGAGCTCCTAACTCGTCTCCCCGCCCCGAGCGCTGCCCTGCGGCCAGAGCCTTTCCCTTGCGGGAAGGGGATGGCGCTTGAGGCCGGGCTTCTCCTTCCGGGCGGTGTGGGGCGGGACGGGGCGGAGACAAGATGGCGGCGGGGTGGCTGTGGCGGCGGCTCTGTCAGGTGCGGCGTGTGGCGGGGGAGGGAACGGGGGAGCCCCGTTCGCCTCGTCCTTTCCCTCGGCGTCTTCATTCCCGAAGGGAAGTGGGAAAAGGGGTCGTGGCAAATGTTATCCTTAGGGCTGCGCGGGAGGGTTGGGGTTGTACGGCGTGGGGCCGTGTCTCTGCACGCCATCGTCGCCTAATGGGTCCTCAGAACTCTTCCCTGCAGCTCTGGGGATTTTCTCCCGGCAGTTGCTCTGGGTGTAAGGGATGGTGAGGAGTAGATCGCTTGGATTGGGACGTCATGTGCCAAGCCTGTTTCTGGTCTTGAAAGTTTCAAATCTTGGAAGTTAACAGCGTTAAAAAGTAGGGAGGCGTTTTGCACTGCCGATGTTTCCTGCTGGTTTTGACTTCTAAAGAGTGATTGCTTTCTCTCAAATTGAGAAAATTCGATGTTGGGTGTTTAGTATTACTTTTTTGAAACCTTAAATTCACTTCTGTGTATGCACTGTATTCTGGACTTGCTTACCTTGCAGGCATCTGCCTCCCCCTGAGTACTTCAGAGTCTCTCAGCCAAGCAAAATTAAGGCTATTTCACGCTAGGAGAGGTGTAATTATGTTTTGTGCCAGGTCTTGGGTGACATAGGAAGTTGAATTCTGTTATGCTGCAGACTTGGAGTGTCTTTTCCACCTTCTATGATGGCCATTAGGCAGAGCACATCAAGTGTATTTAAATCAGAGAATGAAGCTGTTAAAAGTACACTTTACTGCCTGCTGAACAGTGTCTTTACTACCTGAGGTATCCAGTGTATCATTTTGTCAAAATTTGCACAGAGTACCTTTAATTTTAGACATGACGCACACCTGCATAATTAGTAACAAAGGGAGATGGCATGTGGTGGGAATAACATGCACAATCATAGGATATTGGATAGGCTGGAGAGCTTAGCTTGTGGGATAGGACTCTACTGCTTCATCATGTTTTGTTTGATTCATCTTTATTGCACGAAGACGAAAAATTTTGTATCCAAAACCACATAGCACAATATGCTTTGAGTGCACATATTTTTGTATGCAAATAATTAATCCGTATTACAAGCTCAAGCACTTAGCAGTAAAAGAACACGTAATAGAGACTGCATACACACACGCAAAATACAAAACAGTTAAAAGACTTAGGTATGGTTACAGTCAGTAGTCTTACATTTGTTGTCTGGGCTCAGGTTCTGTACCGTGTGCTTGCACACGCAATTTAAGCTCTGCACTGAATACAATGGTTTATGCTCATAGGCTTGTCTGCTTCCTGAAGTGATGTCAGGTGATGGTTATTGTATTTCATATTGCTGTTGAATGGAAGGGAGGCACTATTCTCACTTCAGAGATAGAGAATGGAGGTGCAAGTATCAACATAATTTTATCATAGAATGGCCTGGGTTGAAAGGCACCTAAAGATTATCTAGTTCCAACCCCCTGCATGAGCAGGGACACCTTCCATTAGACCAGGTTGCTCAGAGCCACATCCAACCTGTCCTTCAACACTTCCAGAGATGGAGCAGCCACATCTTCTCTCAGCAATCTGTTTCAGTGCTTCACCACTCTCACAGAAAAGAAATTTTCTCTAATATCTAATCTACACCTTCCCTCTTTCAGTTTGAAGCCGTTCTCCCTTGTCCTGCCACTACACGCTCTTGTAAATAGTCCCTCTATTTTATTAGATGTCATTAGAGAATGATCAAATGTATTTCACTAGTTTCAAGTATTAAGGCTCAAGTAGTTCCTAACATAAAAACTTGGAAACGTCCTGAATGACTGTCAACTACAGTGGCAAATATTCAGTGCTCCTGAAGTTGCTTATTGTGACATGCATTTAAAGAATGTAACACCAGTGGCTCTCTGTGAACATCTAGATTTGAAAGGGTCGCCTAAGGGAAGGCATTTGTACACCAGTCACCTTTGTAAACAGGAAACTGTCCTGCCTCTTCCTGCAGTCATCCTTGTTACTGGAAGCAGCATTTGTAGGATAAGTAGTGATGGAGGCAGAATTCTTTCAGAAAACAGCTTCATTCCCTGCTGATGTCTAATGATTCTATAATGGGTGCTGGAAAACGTTAGGGACCTAGTGGCATCATGTAGTCAGTTATGCATATCCATGAGCAACTACAGTAAGATTACCTAGAAAAGTGTAAATTCTGCCTGCTTTCTGATTAGCCAGTTGCATGCATAACTCTTGGGCACAGTATCTGTCTTCTCTCTTAAAGCTATGATTCCAGCACCTCTTAAAAAAGAGTATCAAGGGGCAGGATAAGAAGATAATTTGGATTCAGCATTTTGCTGCAGCCATGAGGTTCTCTTAGGCAAGTGAAAGTTCCTTCCTGAATCTTTCTTCCCTCAGTGGTCTGTAACTTTGTCAAATGAAGAATTAGTGGAAGGAAGTTAGAAGCCACATAATATTCAGAAGGGAACAGTAATTCCAGTATGAAAGATAGTAGTGTTACATCTTTATTATAACTGTATTACCTTTTTAACACAGAAAAGTCATGTTATCTTTTAAATATGACTCATTAATTTGTAAGAAAAATTTCTGTTTAAATATTCTCTTCAAAAGAGCAAGTGTTCAAAATCACAAGAAACTTTTTTTCGGAAAAAATGGGAAATATCCAATTAAATCCAGAAGTTGAATTTTTGCATTTTAGGGTATTGTTTTCAATTGCTTTTATAAGTCCTACTTTGGCTTGTCACTTGACAAAACTAATATATATTCTACTATGAAAGTAAAACACATACAGAAATGACATCTGATGCCACAAAAAAATACAGTGTTGAAAATATGCTTTGTGGTTGCTATTCAGGTGCCTCATTAGCAAGTGCATACTGTTATTGTGCCTTTAATCTGTTCCTTTTCTGGGTGCTATTGTATACTGAAATATATTTCCATAGTCCTGTTCCAGCAGAGCAGACTTCATACTTTGCCAGATCAGTGCCTAGGAATGTGCTGCACTTCGGTGTACAAAAAAAGTAATTTTTAATAAACCTGTATTAACTGGCTGCTTTCTGGTTTGGGGGGAAAAACCCACAGCATAACTTATCTGTTTTATACAGGGATCAACTTTTCCTGTCAGTTATGCAAGCAGAATTATGCAAAAGCAGTATTTTCTTCCGTAAGTATAAAGGACCTCCTCCTTTCACTGCTCCTCCATAGTCCCTAAAAAAAACCAACTCCATCTTTAACAACTTATTTTATGCTTTTCCCCTTGTGTTTCTAGAAGCTCCAACTTGATGGGAGCACGGCTGGCTGGATCCCATGTTGATACACAGGAGCCTAAGACCAATCCTTTGGTAAGTGTTTTGTAGCACAGTATTTTGTATATTGTCTTAGTTATAAAGAGGACGTGCAGAAAAACTTGAATTCCTTTCTTGCAGCTTTTTAAAGTTCTGTCATAACTATGTTAAATATGTCATAAAGAAATAATTTAGATTACTGGCATTTGAGTTCTTTTGGGGGTTTAGGGGCAAGATTCTTTATCTCACAGTTGCCTCTTAGTCGCTTCCTGCTTTCTGTCTGCAGCCGTAACTCTATGAAATACCAGCTTTTTGGCCACATTCAGTTCAGCACCTGTGGCAGCTTAGCAGCCTTTTGTCCAGGCCTTCAGAAACATCTGACAGACAGTGTTAGATCTGCAGTGCTGACCCAGCCTTCCTGCCGTGTCGGGCGCATGCAGGATTTACTGTGCTAAACTGCTTAGGAGTAAACCTGTGGGAAAATCCGTACTTCTAGACACATCAAGGCTCTTCAGATGATCAGCGAGCCCAGGCCATCAGAAATTGAAGCTCTGACTGAAAATCACAAACTTGTATTTGCACAAACAGAAAGGATAATACTCCTTGGGAAGCCTGCTATGTTTAAATTAGTCCTGTAACTAACTTAGTAAAGTGAGAATTCTGGTTGTTGACCATAATGTTCTGGTTACTTTCCATAACCAAGCAAACTTTTGAGTATTTGGGGTATTCTCTCACTGCTATTTAAAATACAAATACTGCTGCTCCAGACCTGATTTGACAATGAATTTCCTTCTTGGCTTTGCCATTGTTGTCCTCCTTATATTTATCTGGCATTCTTTTGTGGATGAAGAAATTTTACCTAAATGTTCAGAACTTAGCTGACTCTTCAGACTTTCCTTTCCCTGATAAGAGCAAGACCTGTCAGTCCAGGTAATACAGTGAACTTCCCTTAGATAAATAAGCAACTGAACAGATTGTGGGGTGTTTTTCCTCTTTTACAAATGGGGCACACAGGTTAAGGAAACAGGCAGTGTGAGCATTAATTAAGGAGAACATGCAGTGGTAACTCTTGTCCTTTTTTTAAAAATGCAGGTATCTATTTCAGATGAGCCGGAAACACTGTACAAGAGATTGTCCCTTTTAGTTAAAGGTCACGATAAAGCTGTGTTGGACAGCTATGAATATTTTGCAGTGCTTGCAGCTAAAGAACTTGGCATCTCAGTTGAAAAAGTGTAAGTAACAGATCTGTTGAGTGATACGGTGTCAGATGCTTCTTATGTCATCTGCTGTAGTTCAGGTTCTGTGCTTAGAAGTGTTATTTTCTCTTTTTTTTTTAAGAAATGGATGTAACCTAACAGTTTTTTCTCAGATTATAAACCTGACGTTTCTTAGGTGGCAGTACAGTGGTAAGAAAGCAGCAGCAGTTCTGCACTCAGCACTGCTGTAGTGGACTACATGAAGGATGTTGACATGAAGGATGTTGACAGTACTCTGAGTACAGCTGTCAGTGCTGTAGCTTCCCTGAGTTAATGCTGGCTAATACCTGAGCGTTAATCATGCCCATGTGAGTTATAATAACAGACTGCCCTGTACCAGTGTTTCATATTTCCCTGAAGATCTTCTAAATGTCAAATAAGAACAGGGATTCCAGCATAATCTTTGAGATAAACTTGTATTATCGTCCTTTATATAACATGAAATTGTCTTTTTCTTTGTTCAGAGACAAACCTCCGAAGACAATAGAACGATTTACACTTCTCAAATCTGTACATATTTTCAAGAAGCACAGAGTTCAGTATGAAATGAGAACACATTACCTGTGTTTGGAGGTAAGAAAGACGGAAAAGAAAGTGTTATGGCTGCGCAATTCAAAGGTGTTACTAGATGTTAGTTCAAGAGTGAAAACAAATTTCCTATTTACTTGGGTTGGCAAGGAGAGGGTAGGGGAGCATCGGACAGCAGCTGACCTAGGTACATCAAATGTAGCACATGTTATTCTGAATGCACAGCCTATGTAATTTTTGGACTAAAAGGCTGGTTTTGACTATCATGTTAACATCTGAAAGGATGACTAAAAGGATAAGGTAGAACTGAGGATTGTCTTCGTGTGTGTTGTGAAAAGTCAGTGGGATGGAAGCTTTCTCAGGAAGGGAAGAAGATGCATCTGAATCATTGTTGTTGCCAGTCACTAAGGGTTCTGTTCTCTGTGAGTTTGTGTGATGTTTTTGAACAGACATACTTTTGCCCTATGCAGCATCACGTGGCAAACTAAAACTGCGTGGAGGAAATACAAGAAAGGATGCATAGACAAACCACAAGTTCTGTGGCCAGTAACACAGACAGCTGTATGGTTTAGAATGCAGCTGTGGTTGACTTTCTTCTAAGAAAGGTTTACTGCCAGCATTTTGTGGCTCCTGGGTGTCTTACTGTACATTTGCACAGTGCTTAGCAAAATGAGACTTGAAGTCCCCAGACATTTATGCAGTACAAGTGGCTGCCCGCAAACCATAAGCACAATTTTTGCCTTGCAGGAAAAACTGAAACATCAGTAATTCAGTGGAACCAGGAGAAATTAAAAAATCATTGGAACTCTGGAGCTGCAGGATTTATAATAGGCTTGAACTTTGAGGGTGTACAAAAGCTGGTTATTCTTGCATAACCTGTAATTAATTTCACCTGATACCTGCAGAGTTAAGATCCACCACTTACGTCATAATCAGTGCCTGTGGTCCCAGGCAGCATGTGCAGTTCTGTGGAGGGAAGTAACTGCTTTATACTTGTGTGAGAGTTGAGTACAGTTCAATAACCAACTCTGTTCAATATCATGGAAACTGCCTTTCTTAAAAGATGGCAGTTGGCCCCATAGCAGGAGCTAAAAAGAAGCTAGGGCAAACTTTTGGGTTTGGTTTTTATTTTCTGTTTAAAGCATTAATAATAGTAGTTAATTAAAAAACATTACTTCTGTTTTAGTTGAAATACCTAACAGGCAGTACTGCTGCAGTTTACTTGGAGTATGTGCAACGAAACTTACCTGAAGGGGTTGCCATGGAAGTAAAAAAGGTAAGTTTTCACGCCGAATTAATAATTTAATAATTTATGAGACTGAAGTCCTGATGCAAGTACCAGTGACTACTGAAGTCTTTAGAAGGTCAGCCGAGGAAATAGGTGTAAATTGGAAGGAACGTTTTTTCCTGAGTATTACACATTAAAGAGGCTGTATTGCTTGGAAGTGCCACTAGGTGGCATTTTTAATCTGAGTTATATCTCAAACGAGAGTAAATAAAGCAAAGTAGTTAGATGTTAGCTATTTGGTGTAATAAATGGTTGTTTTGTTTTCCTTTTAGACTAAGATAGAGAGAATACCTGAACACATTAAGAAGCCAGTTTGGGATACACTACCTCAAGTGGAAGAAGCTGAAGTCAAGTCATGAACACACCAGGTACTTGGCTCTGTTAGTACTGGAGTTCATTGTTCCTATCAGCCTAATTTACTGTTAAATAAAAGTTCTCTTATAAAGAAATTTTATAAACTCTTGTTTCATCAAGTTATTCTTCCTTATAATTCCAGTACATGTTAGACTGTACAGCTCTAAAGTGAAGAAGTTTGTGATCTGTAACTATGGTTATTTATAATAAGTTTGTAAAAAGTGTGTATATATAAATGTATATAAATTCATCATATCCTTTTGATGCTAGATGGCTTCTTAATTCTGAAATACTTGCAAATCCACTTCACATTTGTGTGATGTTTAATATTATGTATGCCAGATTGTTATCCAGTTACCAATTGGATAAACTCATTCGTTGGATGAACTATTTCCATTCTTTACTTCTTTTACCACGTTTCTCCAGTTTTGCATTCTGGCACCTTTCTTAGCAACTGCCAACAGCAACACTCCAACCATTGCTTTAGGTCTTGTCTCGATTCATCTTCCTACCTACTGACCATCTCCTCTCTTTTTCAATCAGAAAATTTTTAGTTGCATTTTAGAGGAAATCAATAAAAACATCTTATTTCATACCATTTATAAACATCAGTATCTGAGCATGCTGTACTATGTTCTTATGAGTCAGACATCCAAAGCTTAAATGATTCCTTTCTGAAGGGCCTACTTTTAGATCCATACAGCAAAACCGCCAGAATTGCCAATTTCATGCCCTGAAACAGAGGCAACATCTGCCACATAGGAGTTCTGTGCATCACAGCAAAGCATTCCTACCTTCCTAGAACTCCAGTTTGAGTATGAAAGAGTCAAAGCACTGTCAGTATCTCTGTAAACCAGCACTTCTGTCTTAAGGAGAGAGGGAATGTTTTTTCAGACATTGAACTGAACTAAATCCTTAGGATCAGTTCAATATCAATTTGATATCACTGCCTTTTTTAAGGAGGGAAAGATAGATGAAAAGACTTGGCAGCATGCAGGAGCAAAATTTGACTTCCAGTATCCGGTAGCCTTCAGTCTCACCCTTAATCAGGACACAGACTCTTAATACTGCTGCTCTCGCCCCTGGCTGATACTGCATTAGCCTCATCTAGCAAACGAGTTCAACCCAAGTCAGTCATTCAGAGAAGATTTTTAGATATTTGGTTAAGCTAATGCCCTGTCTTTCTAGGTGGAGTTTTACTGTATATGAACTTGGGCAGTGATAAACCTTCAGCCTAATTACCTTTGCTTTCTCTTCCCTGTAATCTGCGTGTGGCATTCAAGGACAGAGACCTCTGGTCTGAAATCCAGTCAGGTTCCTTCTACCCCTTTGCACACAGCTGTGTCCACCCTGCTGGTGTACACTCACTGAGCACTTTGGAACATCTTCAGTAGAAAAGAACTGGAAATACTCAAGAACACAGACAAACCAATAAGCAAATATTTGATTCAATTTTCCCTAATTTAAAGGCTAAGTCAGACAACCATTAACAAGAGGAAAATGGTGCATTTCTGAGTACAGTTCCTCACTGTTAGAAAACTGCTTTTTGACCATCCTCAAGCTTGTATGGGCAGATGTCTAACATTATCTGCCAGTATGAGAAAATGCTTTCCCAAGGGTAACAGAAAATAGATGCCATGTAAAGCTCTTACACAAACACACAGATCAGTAAGAAATACTTAGAAAAGTATCATGAAAGTGGTTGTTAGATATAACAGTGAAACTTCTTCATTCCATCTGTGGTTAGACTGTCTTGGTCTGAATAGGAACTGTGCTAAATACTGGCACTGAAGATAGATAAGTTTTCGAGTCCATTCAGTCTTTAAAATCCTTGGTCACTGCCAGTAAACTGGAGGTGGATTTCCTTCCACAAATACTTAGTGACTAACAGCTGCCAGCCTACTTTAGGTGTCAAAAATACACAGACCAATATATTATGTAAATCAGAGCATTCACTTGTGTTACTTTCCTTTGAGCCATTTAACCACTGAAAAATTGTCAGGAAAGCTCTGCTCAAAGGCAATTGTGGCAGAATCCTATTACTTATGGATTAATATATTTTTTAAAACAGTCTAAATTACCCTGCATGTCCAAGATACCCAGGGTTCATTTGCCATGTGTATCTTCCAGCACAAAAGCAATTTATGAATAGTAGCTTCTGTATCATTTAGTGTGATGCTTAAAGAAACAGTCTCCATTCATTCTTGACATTTCATCGAAGTGCCCTAGAGCATGTATTTCTCCTCCTTAGTAGTCATCAGTCATGTCTGGAATGTTACTTCAGTTTTGGTTTCTACAGTTAGTCTTAATCATACCACTACCACAACTTAATTGTCACAGCATTAATCTGTCTTTACAGCAAGCTTCTTGCTTTAAAAGTCTTTCCTGCCAGTTCTGCATTTCATATGCCAGGAAATTAATTACTATGTATCTGTTATTCCAGGAAGCACTGGAAAAACAGCAAATCCAAGGGATAGTCATTTACCCAGGAAGCTGTGAAATAGGAAGGTTTTACTGTTTGTGTAATATAAAGCTGTAGTTAAAACTCCTTCAAGCCTGCTATTCTCTTAGCTCAGACTGCACTAAGACAGGTGCAGTCTGTTATTTGTCCCTTCAAAATAGAAATTTGGGAATAGAACCTCACATGTTGTTCGTGGCTTTCCCAAGCAAGTGGCATTAGAAAATGCCACCCTTCCTCTAGTTTCCACATTTCTGCAGCCACAAAAATAGCACAACTGGCTTTTAAAAATGTTTTTCCTATCATAAAAGTTGGGGTGACTTCTTGCTCCTATTCAGGCATTTCATCCTGTTTCCTTCTGACTGTTGTAGTCTTCTAAAGTTCAGGAGCTTTTTCCACAAAACCTCAGTATTCATCTTCGTCCATTTGTGTGGTGAAAAATGCAGTTTACATTTCTGGCAGTCATTCGTAAGCCAAACATGATAAATCACTGAGGTCCTCAGGGGATCTGTGTGTGTGACAGCATATCAGTGAACCCCTACATGACCCTGTAGGAAACAGAAATCTGAGAGGTATTTAATTTACAGAGTGAATATGAAAAACCTCAGCCTTTAATACAGACAATTTATTTGTTCAGGTAGGTGCACAAAGCTCACATAACGATTCTCTTCTGCAACACTTACGTGTGGTAAGAGGACAGCGTTATGGGATTTGGGGTTTTGTGTACCTGTGTCACTGTTTAAAATTTCTAGTTGTCTCAAAACACGCCTTTTTTCTGAAATGCTGTTTATTGAATTACAAGAAACATCAGTGATAAAAAGTGCAAATTTTCTTCTACTTAAATAAAATGCTGATTGATATTATCAAAGAGCTCTTAATCAGTGTATCACATCTCTGAAGCAAGGTCTTTTGTTCATCAGCACACTGTTATCACTCATCTTTCATTCCCTCCTGCTGTATAAATATTAACTCCTCTTTGCCTCAATATTAGAATGTTTCCAGTCAAAAATAAGGGGTTTTCTTTTATGTTAGCTGCTGAAAACATTCATAGGGCTTTTCCCCTAAGCCATTAGAGTACAGAAGTTTCACCTTCTGCTCAGAGAAAGTTACAATACCTACATTATGGAGACGCAGTGGCGTCATAAGTGAGTAACACCAACAATATTTCAAACATTTACAGCAACTCCAGATACCTACAGCTGATTAGAACTACTTGAGCCTGCAGTGGCCACACTGCTAAGGAATAGCAGAAGGCTTAGTTTGCCATCAGAAATCAAATATAATGATGAAACTTTCAGACCAAAACAATTCTGCATTATCCAAGAGGGAACCTTAAAAATTATAACATAGATTAGTTCAGTAACTACTAGGAGGAAAAGAAATTCTAATGTTTTAAATAGGATCAGTTTTAAAAGGTCCAGTTCTTCCCTTATGTTGGCACCCACCCAGAAGCAGAGAAAGCCTTAATACAGATTTCTTTCCACTTTCTCTAGCATCTCATTAAAATCTATACCTTTACTTAACCTGTCCCAGTGCAGGGTATTAAAAGTTTGGAAAACCTGTTTTCTACGAACTGGATGTGGATGTACTACAGAACTAGTCTGAAACAATGAAAAGAGTGCAATTCAGTTTTCTGGGTGCCCACAGAAGAGGTTGAGGGCTATGTCTCCATCCCCTTCTTTCATGTTCAGTTTTTCATTTCTGACATACAAGCTGGCAGTTAAACTCTTTACTGCATTATGCATGCTTTCTCAGAAATGATTGTGGGTTTGGGTTTTTTAAGCTGATGTTGCTATAGACAACACATGGATTCAAGGCAGATTTTGTGATTCTTTCTAAAATGCTGGGCTCCCCTCAACAGACTAAAATTTTATTATGTATTATGTATAATATATATAAAATATATATAAAATATATATATTCTCCATATTCCATATTTCTTCAGTGTGTAAGCTTTATAGTTCTTTTAAAAACACTAAATCAAATATAGTGGTTTTTACATGGACAATACATTATAGTAACCACGGTGTAAGGAATTACAGCATCAGTAAATGTATCAGCCATTTGTCAAAAAGAGTGCAGCTTGATTTTCAATATCACTCGAAATACAGCTCACACTGGCAAAAAAAAACAGTGGCAAAGCAGTTTCTAAACTTAGTTTTTTTAAGAAAAAGAGCATTAGGCTAAATATGGCTATTTGAGAACAGATGCTTAATACAGAAGCCCCCAGCATTTCTGTTCTTAGCTCAATTCATGTTGCTTAAGAATAAACAAGTAACTTGAATGCCTAAATTAAAAAAATAGTTAATACTACAGAAAGGAGGGTAAAGAAGTTAAAAAAATCTGTCGCCTTAAGTATGGCCATGCTTCAAAGAACTCTACTTCAAAGAATTCTTTCACCAAAAAGTCATGCCACTTCCTGAAAGTCCTGCAGCTGAACTGGCCTGCAGAAATGGCCCATTCCAGCGGTGCTCACGCTCTTGTGCAGAGCTTTCAGTAGTCTGTAAGTAAGCAGAAAATTTGTGGGGGGTTGTGTCGTAACAATTCCTTTTTATATTTTAAGTCAGCAGCTGCTGAACACTATATTTGGTCACGGCTCTTCTTTTTTATTTTCAGTGGTATTACTTGCTTGTTACTGTCCACATTTATGCAAACAGTACATCAAGGACGCATCAAGATACTTGCCTTGGCAGAGGTGCTGGCTGTTACCAGGAAAGCAGTGATGGATGGAAAGAGGTGACAAAGAAGATTAAGCAGAGATAGTCTGAGATGAGGGAAGACCTGATGTCATCACTTACCTTTCCCATCGCAACCAGACAGTATCTTAAGTCACACATCTTCCTTTTTATTATGCACCACAGAAGTGCATTTAGTAAATAAATCAGCATTCAAGTTTATAAGCTATATGCTGAAGACCCTGGTGTAA